TAAATGTTTGTTTGTTTTTCTATTTAGATGATGACAATATTGAAGCAAGTAAGTTAAAAAGCATTTTTAAATTTTTAAAAAGAAATTTTTTCTTTGTTTTCTTTGAGGTAGATTTAAAGTTTTAGTTTTTTAAAATCCTATATATAACTCATATATCTTTGTTTTTCTATTTAGACGTTGGTAATAATATGAAACAGGTAAGTTATAAAGCATTTTAAAAAATAAGTTTTTAAAAAAGAAATAAAAATACTTTTTATTATATATCTGTTTTCTTCGAGGTAGATTTAAAATTTCAGGTTTTTTAAATCATATATATTATAAGATTTACAAATGAGTCGACTTGAATGTTTGTTTGTTTTTCTATTTAGACGTTGGTGATAATATCGAAACAAGTAAGTTATAAAGCATTTTTAAATTTTTAAAAAGAAAAAAAAATACTTTTCAATATATATCTGTTTTCTTCGAGGTAGATTTAAAATTTCAGGTTTTTAAAATCATATATATTATAATATTAAATTCTTTTTTACTTTAAAAATATCTATATTATAGTTACACTGAGTCGTAGAAAAAAAATTAAAGTTTATTAATAAGGTAGTAGATTATTAGAGTAGATTAAATTGTTTGATCTATTAATCAACTTAATAACGTACTATTAATATGAAGATTTATTTTGGTTGTTTGTTTGTTAAAATTTAGTTAGAGTTTATTTAAAATTTAAATTCTTTAGTTAATCAAGAGAGATCTAATAAAGGTATTAATTACATTAGTTGAATGTGGCATTTAATATGTATTTTATCGATATAAGGAATAAAATAATAAGGAATAGAAAAATTTTAAAAATTTGCTCTGGAATTTGTCAAAAGAGTGTTGTGTTATGCTTCATTTTAAGGTATCTAAATATATATTCATTAAAAATTTTTAATTTTGTTTTTAAATGGTTTATTCTTTTTCACTACTTTAGATAAATATATACTGACTGACATAACTTCATTTTTATTAACAATGTCGTGCATTGTAGTCTGCATTCTTTGTTACATTAAAAATAATTGATGCTAATAAATGTTCTTTTATAGTTGTTAAAAGTTTGCATATATGTTTGCATTTATATTATGATCAAAGTTAAAATTTTTTTGATAAATACGTGTATGTGGTGATACTACTCAGGTATCACCGCAGCTTATCTCTATCAGGTACATTGATTTTTAATTCACATATGATGTTTTTCTTTGTATTTACTTATTCATTACATTTTTAACTTCAGATTTATGGTGTATTTATTTGTTATAGAAGAACAAATCATTTTGAATTTTTTAAAAATATCTACACCAATCAACATTTAAAGTTCAATGTAGCATATACCAGCTTCTAGGCTTTTTTGATGCTTTTCTTATTCAAGTGGTTTCATAAGCAAGGTCTACAAGCAAATTTGAGATAAAAAGTTTTTCAGCTTTCAAGGAGTATCAATGTTGTTTAATTTGTTTAAATAGAGTAGTTTTAGTAAATAAATGTTTGTTTGTTCTTGGTTTTTTACTTATTTGTTATCAGATTCTTAAGAATTAGGCAACTTAGCAAGCAAGATTTATTTTATTTTTTAGTGCAATTGGAAAGAGCTAAAGTGGTTTTTAGTTACTTCAAATCGTTTGTTTTTATTTTTTAAATAGAAAATTTAATAATAAAAATATTTAGACAGTCGAACTGTTACTGATTTGAGTAAGTTTAATTTTTTGTTTAATTTTATATTAGATATATATTTTATGTATTTAACATGAAAAACTGACTGTAATTTTTGACAGGTAAGTTTATATACTTAAATGTGCCTATATATCGGAATATTTTATATTTCTCTGAATCTATATGAATATTATCTCAGAAAAAATTAAGAATAGAAAAAATTTGAATATATATACATACATATATATTACTTTAGACTGACATTGCTTCATTTTTTATACAAGATTCTGCATTTATTATTTTTGTGCATTAAGATTGTGCCTGAAGGCTTTCTTAATTTAGCAAAGAATTTAGAACACAATGCAAATAACTTTGCACTGTGTTCTAAATTCTTTGCTAAATTAAAATAATGTAAATAAATTTTGTTTTATATTTTTCAGTTGTAAAAATATAAAACGTTCATTTATTCAGTTGTAACAGTAGCATAACCACTGGTAATATATATTTAATGATAACAGATTTATAATATTAGGCTCGAAGAAGTTATTAGTGTAAATGGTTATAGGTGACTTGAAATTGTTGTCATATGAAAGAAATAGATCTAGGCATGATAAAATTAATTGTCGTTGAAATATAAGAAATTTTGCTTGATGAACCAAAAACTTACTTGGGAGAATTCAGTGTCAAGCGCTGTTGATGTCTATTATTTGACTTTACATTAGACACTTTAAAATAAAGCAAAGTATGAATTTTACTATTTATAGTAACAAATAATAAAAATTTCAGTTATAATGATTTTTTTTTTTTTTTTTTTTTTTTTTTTTTTTTTTTTTTTTACTTTTGTAATCTTAATATAATTGTTCATTTTTTTTCTTTTTTTTTTCTTTGTCATCACTTGATTATTTTGCTTACTGTTGAAACATGGTTTTAATTTTGTAAATTTAATATGATGTGAAATTTACAATATTATTCATTTGTCAACAGTTAGAAGCTGGAAATAAATTAAGAAATGCTGGAAATTAACTTTTAGTTAAGGTAAAAATAATTTTGTTTATTGGTAGCATAATAAAACCAGTTACTGTTATTTATTGCATGACTTTTTTACTTTTTCTAACATGGTGTTTTTAAAACACTTCCTCTCTCTATTAGATGAGACTTAAATAAGAATTAGTATTGAGAATTGTAGAGAGAGAATTGATTGGGGGGTCGTATGGGTTGAATGGGCGGTCGTAACTAAAAACCTTTAAAAATATGGAGAATATTGTAGTTTTGCGCATTAATATCGAGTTACTTAAGTTTTATTTATGTGTTTAACTAATTAGTTAGCTTAGTCTGTATTTGCAACACTTTTGAGGAAAGAAAGAAAACATTTTTATATAATTAGATCATTGTTTTACATTTTAATATTTTATTTTATTCACCAGGCCACCATTAAAGCAAAAAAAGGGAAGGAACCTCTTTATTAGAGCCAAAATATTTAGAAAAATTAAATTTCGAGTTACAAAAGGAATTTTTAGTAAATGGTGGCAAATTACCGTTTACTAAAAATTTTATGAAATAAAGAGGCCAAATAAATAATATACAAATGGTCTGTGTTGAACAGACTTAACAAGACCCGGGTCGGGTCAGCTTGGTTTACAAATTTTTATGTCTACTTATCTCTTATAATTTTTATTTTACTTTGTTCTATGATGCATTAATGTATTAAAAAATTTGTTATACCTATGTTTGATCGTAAATTAAATTTTCTTTTGTTTGAAAGGTATTTGTACTCAGTTGCGTAGTATAATAAACTTTGTTATTTTCTATAAATTTATTTAAACGTGTGCATTTAATATTTTTAAGTTAACAATTTTCTTTTCTAAAGAACAATTAATCAAGGGGATAACAAAAAATTGATTACTCCTGTATAATATAAGTTAACTTCATTTTAATCTTAATGGTTCGTGTTATAAAAATTATTTTAAGGATTTAGTTGACACTTTCGTCAATTTAAAGTATAACCAAGTGTTATTATTTTGCGTCAGTAACTAAAAACGTATTGTGTTAAACTTAGGAAGGTCGATGAAAATGGTTCTGCCTTACACTGTTATGACCTGTGCCATTTGTAAATTACTTAATAATGTTAAGTAGTAGTTGGTAAATTATTTTACCTCCTCATAATTTTTATGTTAATTTTACAGATGGATTAATTTTTTCAAGCTGAAGGCAATTTTCTAAAAGGGTATTAGTTAAGGTTTTGCAAGATTAAATTGTGGAAAACAGCTACTATAAATTAATTATGTAACAGACCGACCAAAACCCGTATTACGGGTTGCCTTTTGCTAGTCTTATATATGATTAACGCTTATATTACTTTTTTGGTTATAAGAAAAGAAGTTTTTCCACCTTAATTTCTCTTTTTTTTTTCATTTTGTTTTAGTTACCTTACTGTTGAAATATGGTTTGAATTTAGTAAATTTTCATGATTTTAAATTTACTATATTGATCATTTGCCAACAGTTAATGAAAGTTGTATACATATTGCTGTTTAGTATACATAGTTGTTGTTTCAATTATCATAAGTAAATATTGTTATATTCATGGTAAGGTTTATTTAATTTATTGTAATGTTAATTTATATAAATATATCTATGTGTATATATATATATATATATATATATATATATATATATATATATATATATATATATATATATATATATATATATATATATATATATATATATATATATATATATATATATATATATATAAATATATATATATATATATATATATATATATATATATATATATATATATATATATATATATATATTTATATTAACAAATTTATAATAATTATAAATATAAATTTACAATAATTATTATATAATTTATGCAGGGATTATCTTTTCCCGGTTATTTCTGGAATTCCGGATATTTTCTTAACTTGTGTTTTTTCTGGATATCCAAAATGTTTTCCATATATACAAGTTTAGCTGTTTATTTTTGTATAATATCTCTTTTTAAGAATTGTCAAGTTAAGAAGAAAATTAAGGGAAATAATATTGTGGGTTTTTTCTGGATATTATACCCAAATAATTTTCCAGATTTTAAAAATATGACCTGGACAATCTATGTTTATAATAATGAGAGTAAGAACAATACTTTCCAAAAGATATACAAAGATCTATTATTTTATTTTTTGGAATTAACAGGATTTTATAATTGATGCAACTTGTAATAATTCTTGTATGAATTTGTCAAGAAGAATTTTTGTAACAATTTGTTAATTGTAATAATTTGTCATGAAGAATTTTTGTAATAATGTCAATTGTAATATTTTGTCTAGAAGAATTTTTTTAATAATACGTCAATTGTAATAATTTGTCAAGAAAAATATGAAAAGCAATGTAATCAACAGTACTTTGAGTTGTAGCAACTGCAACAGAAAGTACTGCTGTTTGAATTATTGATAACTTTTATAAATGAATAATGTGTTTATTAACTTGTCTACACCAGAGAAGAAATATATAGTATAATCTAATTCATAATGACCGGGCAAACTTTGAAAAAGTTTCTATCCAGTTGTTCAAATTATTCTTTTGAATGCTTATAAAGTTAAGTTATGGTTTGAATGTAAAACAAAAAAAGTGAAATTGACAGATTCACAAAATGTTTTAAAAAAGCACTTGATTACTCCTGTCATTATATGACTAATTTAATGTTTAACTTGAACTAATTAATGTTTAATATTTTTTGCCATAATTATTTTAACAGTTTTTTTTTTCTGACTTAGCGCGAAAATGTCAGACGAAGTGTGTCTATAGTGATGATGTTTGAAGTCTTTAACTATTGTTTCAGTTAACATTGAGGAAATACCCAGAATGAAGGATCCTGAACTTGTAATCGCCGAGCTACGTGCAGCAACCAATGTACCAATAAAGCAGCTTGTACCACCATCAATAAAAGTCCTTTCCAACATGGTAACAGTGGTACATAATCCAACCATCAAAGTTTTTACAGTTTCTGGACCAGATAGCAAGGCGGAAGTGGTGAAGTTATTTCCGAAAGAAAGCTGCACATGTCCTTCATCAACAATGTGCTGCCATATACTAGCAGTTAAACATAGCATTGGTGTTGAGCATTGTAGTGAAAGGAGACCTCTTAACTTGACTAATTTGCGACGCAATTCGTGGTACATTTATTTGTTTTTTTGTCTTTTTGAATATTTTCAATTTTTTATTAGTTTCCTTGGCAAAATTAATGTTGTTTTGTTTAATAAAATATATAAAAGAACTCCTTTTTAGTAAAAAAGGTGACAAAAAATCAGGAAGGAAGAAGCCAAGGAAAGGAGATATTTCCTTTATCCCTGCACCAGATGCAATTGCCACAACCAAAAATCTTGAAATAAATTGCTTAGATGATTTCTTGACAGAAAATATTGACCTAAAAGATATTGCTATGGCGACCCCATTAACTTAATTTAAAATGTAAAATAATTGTTTTTAAAATTTTAGAATTTTAATATTTAGTGTAAGTGTTTTTTTATAACTAAGTTGTATATTTTATTTAAGGGAACAAAAAAAATTAACATTAGTCATTTCAAGTGTTCCAAAGATATCTCAACCTGCAGGTTCTTTAGTTTTATCCGATTGTTCATTATTTATTAATTCAAATGTTACACCAGTAGTTGATGTTGATAATGGAATGTTTCCAAATTTATTTGAAAATAATTCTTTACATTTTGATAGTATTGGTATTGCAGCCATATTGAATCAATCAATGTAATTTTATTTAGGAAATAAATGTAAATTTATTTCCTGTTCCTTGTTTTTGTGCCTTTACTACTGATTATTTTTTTGTTTTTCAGTTTTAATTTTTCAATTGTTGATTAATTAATTTTTAAATTGTTTTTTGTATTAAATATGTTATGGTTTTTAAGCGAGCAAAATGGATTGAAAATTGTCAATGCAGATGCACAGAAAAGTCAATCTACATATTCTTTAGTTGCATCTGATTCTCTATCATTACTTAATTCAGATGTGATACCAATGGTTAATGTTAAATCAGACTGTATTGTAAGTGATACAATTTCTATTTATTCATTTTTAAGTTTTTCTAAGAGTATTTCCGTATTTATGCTTATAGGCTAGTAAGCACTAATTTAAATTAGAGGTGTGTGTTATTGTATTTAATACTCACTCTTGTTATTTTAATTTAATACACCATTACTTCTGATGATATTCCTATATCAAACTAACATTAACTTCCTATGCTTTCACATTTCTACAATTATCTTTATTAAGTAATATCTTTTATTGAGCATTAGTGTAACCACAATAAATATACGTTGTTGACGAATTATTGTTTTTTTTTAAATCCTCAGTTAAGTCTATATAGTTTTTAGTTTATAATATTTAATGATTGAAATTTTGTTTTCCAGGTTGATGACGAGGCTTGGCTTCGATTTAATACAATGAGTCTAAGCATTGCTGATAGAAGTCTCATCACAAGTCCAGTTGGCCTCCTTAATGACAAAGTAATTTATGCTGCGATGATTTTGTGTAAACGGCAGTTTCCTGAAATGGATGGTTTACAAGACCCTATTCTGTGTTTTGCGGGTCAGTGTAATAGTGCTCCGTTTTCAAGTCGTGGTTTCGTTCAAATTTTTAATGATGAAATTAAAGGTCATTGGATAACTGTAGCTAACTAGCATTGCAAAGAAGGTAAAATAAACATTTATTGCAGTTTACAATTGACTCCGAGCAAAGAGTGTACACGTTCTATTGCAAAATTTGCGCGTCTACAGTGTGCCACTATCGAGCTCAATATAAACAATGTATCCCGCCAAAAAGACCTACTATGTGGATTTTACGCAATTGCAAATTGCGTTACATTGTGCTTAGGCAAAGATCCCTGCAATTTTACGTACAAGGAGTCAGTAATGCGGCAACACTTATTGACTTGTCTTGAAAAAAAACATATTATCCAGTTTCCTGTTGAAAGTTTTAGAACTGTTCGGAAGAGTGTTATTCGTGTTTCAAGAAACTCTTTGTATTGTCTGTGTCGCACTATTTTTATGTCTTCGGATTCAATGATCCAATGTACATTATGCAATGAGTGGTTTCATGCATCTTGCGTAGGTTTAACAGAGGAACTTTTTGTTGAGTACAAAAGAGATATTCGCAAAGTTTATAAATGCGCCAAATGTAAATAGGATTCTTACTGAACATTTATAAACTAACATTTTTTTTTTGGAAAAATGACCTACCGAATTTTTTTGGTAGATCACACATCAGAAAACGGCTGATAGGATAATCTGCTCTGCCGTTATTAACATTACAATGATCTGCTCTGCCGGTTGCGTTATGATCTGCCAAATTATTTGGCAGATCACACATCAGAATACGGCAGGTCACTTTTTTTTTTGGTAAAGTTTTGCGACTAAAAAATGTCTATGCATAAAAATTAGGTCAAATATTGATTCTTTCTATTCTAAGTGCATTGCGTTTCTTAAAAATATTAGGCAATCACATTATAACAATTTTATCTATGATCTGCCGAATTTTTTTGGCAGATCACACTTCAGAAAACGGCTGATAGGATAATCTGCTCTGCCGTTATTATTATTACTATGATCTGCTCTGCCAATCTGCTCTGCCGGTTGCATTATGATCTGCCGAAATATTTGGCAGATCACACATTAGAATACGGCAGATCACCTTTTTATTTGGAAAATTATTGCGACAACAAAAAACGTTTATGTTTAAAAAGTCAACCCATAGTTCTTTCTATTTGAAGTGCATCGTTTTTCATAAAAATATTTGGCAATCACATTATAAAAATTCTATTATATGATCTGCCGAATTATTTGGCAGATCACACATTAGGAAACGGCTGATTGAATAATCTGCTCTGCCGTTATTAACATTTCAATGATCTGCTCTGCCAATCTGCTCTGCCGGTTGCATTATGATCTGCCGAAATATTTGGCAGATCACCTTTTTTTTTTTGGAAAAGTATTGCGACAACAAAAAACGTTTATGTTTAAAAAGTCAACCCATAGTTCTTTCTATTTGAAGTGCATCGTTTTTCATAAAAATATTTGGCAATCACATTATAAAAATTCTATTATATGATCTGCCGAATTATTTGGCAGATCACACATTAGGAAACGGCTGATTGAATAATCTGCTCTGCCGTTATTAACATTTCAATGATCTGCTCTGCCAATCTGCTCTGCCGGTTGCATTATGATCTGCCGAAATATTTGGCAGATCACACATTAGAATACGGCAGATCACCTTTTTTTTTTTGGAAAAGTATTGCGACAACAAAAAACGTTTATGTTTAAAAAGTCAACCCATAGTTCTTTCTATTTGAAGTGCATCGTTTTTCATAAAAATATTTGGCAATCACATTATAAAAATTCTATTATATGATCTGCCGAATTATTTGGCAGATCACACATTAGGAAACGGCTGATTGAATAATCTGCTCTGCCGTTATTAACATTTCAATGATCTGCTCTGCCAATCTGCTCTGCTCTGCCGATTGTACCTACCCTATTAAAAATGCGTTACTTAAAAATTTTAGGAAGTTTTAGATTCGAAAGCGCTTGCGTGATCGAAAGATTAAAATCGATCGAAGTTTTATAAATATGAATTTAAAATATATTACCATTTTATGCTAACTTCATTTATAGTATGTTAGTAGAAAAACGTTTTTATGAATCTTGTTGCGTTTTTATTATATTGTTTATAATTGAATGTTTTGGACGGCGGATGTAATATTTTATTACAGATGTAACTAATTTTTTTTGCTTTAATAAAGCATTCTGGATACTTTTTGGACGAAAAAGTTATTGGACGCGAAAAAGACGTTCAAAAGACGTTTAGAATTTTAATGGGACGGACGGGAACATCCTAAGGACATCTTTTTTACGTCCCGTGCCCACTGGGAATGATATAAAAACAACAATGGCAGTCGATGTTAAGCCAACGCAACGCAACGCTTAAAATTCTATTATGTGATCTGCCAAATAATTCGGCAGATCATATAATAGAATTTTTATAATGTGATTGCCAAATATTTTTATGAAAAACGATGCACTTCAAATAGAAAGAACTATGGGTTGACTTTTTAAACATAAACGTTTTTTGTTGTTGCAATACTTTTCCAAAAAAAAAAAGGTGATCTGCCGTATTCTAATGTGTGATCGGAGCGTTGCTCTAACGTTTTATTAACGTATGTATGCTAGCTGGAATAATTTGCCTTTGCATCCAACTCCTTTAAAAGTTTTATTCAAAGTTCTCAATCTACTACACTGTTACGGAAAAAGGTGTTTATGTTAAAGAAAAAAGGTGTAGACGTGTGATGCTATATAAACACACCAATTAGGTGTTGCCGTAAAAAGGTGTTGATGCAAAAAAAGGTGTTCATGATACATTAACACCTAGTAGGTGTTGCGGTTAAAATGTGTTCATGCGAATAAAGGTGTTCATGTTACATCAATACCCTGTTGTTTGCATAACGCGTTTGCGACGCAAATATATCAATATATTTAATAGCGAACACCTTCTTAAACTTTTTGTTTATTCATGAAAGGCATGCTTTAAAAAACTTAAAGTTTTTTGAATAAACTGTTCCAAGAGAATATTTTAAAAATAATTTTTTAATACAAATTTTTATATCATATACACATTAAGACTATAATATATACAAGTAATAATTTAGACTAAAACTATAATAATAATTTAGACTATAATTATACAAGTTAATGACTATAACAAATATCATAAGCTTAAAACAATTTCACTATTTGAAATAAAATTTTATTTCAGCGTGAAAGTGTTTTAACAAATTTTAATTGTTTTGTATTTTGTAACTTTAAAAATTTATACGATTGCTTATAACTTGTTAGTGCACCTTTCGACTTTACCAGTTTTTTTACAATTAAACACATTGCCGTGCTGAAAAACAAATTGAAATAAATTGTTAAAACAAAGTACCCACTGTTCACTCACAATGAACGGCTCTCTAAAAATAAACAAACATTTTAAAACAAAATTTAATTTCATCAAAAAAAAAAACAACTCCTATCATATATCATAATTAAAGTAAAGTTACTTAAGTAACTTTACTTAAGTAACTTTACTTAAGTAACTTTACTTACTGATATTGTTCAAGTGATAAATTTATCACTTGAATCCTAAAAAAGCTGAAAATATATCTCAATAGATATCCTGAAAACAACCGATTTCTCAACAGCTTTTTCTCTCAATTTGCATTAGTCGGAAGTTAAATCTTTCGTGGCTTTCCGTTTATCATATCCTTAAATAAACAAAGCTGTATGAGAACTGATATGTAAAAAAAAATAAATAAGAAATAAATTTTTTTTTACCAATTTTGATAAAACATGTAATTTTTTGATTAATATAAAATATAGATACAAACAACAAAAATTAGTTTTTAAGAAAAAAAATAAACAGTAAAATTAATATAAGTAGCCAACATCATCTAACATAAAGTCAACTTTATGTTAGATGGTGTTTGCTATTAATTATATACCTTTCTTGTCAGGGCTTTGAATTTTGCACTTTATCTTTCTATTTTGCTGTCATAATCCGCTTGAACATATTTTCCTAGTTCAATTTTAAGTCATTTTTTTACATCACCACCTCCATTTATGTCTTTTACAAACAATAATAACACTAAATTCGTTTAAACGGGAAGAAAAATTGCCTACTAATACTTTTTTTAATTTATTTTATTAGGTATATTAATAACGCGAAAATTTATTAATCCTCAAAACTGATATTATTAAACTAACCAGGTTTGGTTCTATTAAATCGGGAAAACTTTGAAACATCTTATAATGAGGGTAAAGCTCAAAAACTCAGTTTCATGGTTCTGAGGTCGTCTGCTAGTAAGGCTTACTGAACTTTGTGGAAGCTCACAGAGAGACTGATTCTATCAACAGCTGCAAAATATCAGAGTATTAACAATGCCATATTGCGCATGGATGGTGTTTCTGTTAATGATTTTGGTGCGCGTTGTTGAGGCCACATAAAGAGCCCTATGTTATGACTTTAATAGGGCTGAGAAAATTGCATACCTCATTGCTTAGAAGGCCGTGCTCTATCTATGAATGAGTAAAGTTCTCAATAAACTAAAATTATGCCAAAAGTAAATCAAAATAATAAACATGAAAAACCATTGCACACCAACTAACTAACTTAATATATCTTTTACTAACATTCTTGACCTGCAAAGCAACCTTCTATCAATTGAATCAAATCTCTTGCAAAATTTACCAGACTTCCTTGCTCTTATTGAGACTAATTTAAATTCTGCTGTTCCTTCATCTGATCTTGGCGTTGATGGGTACTATTCTTTGATTCGCAAAGACTACAATAGTCACACTCAGGGCTCAGGGGTATACATGCACATTAGTTCACCTATTTGTCGTTAAATCCTTTGACCATTTTTTTATTTGCTTTCGTTTAGCAGCTCTTCACTCTATCATCTTTCCATTTGTTCTTTATTGTTCTTCTTTATTCCAAAACTGCACTCTTTCTGATCAAATTGACCCATCTGCCAATATTGTCGTTATTGATGACTTTAATGCTCATCACACTGAATAGCTTGGCTCTTATGCCACTGACCCTGCTGGCACTAAAACCTAAAACTTTTATACTTCTCAATCTCTTACTCAGACAGTTAAATTTGTGACTCGTTTTCCTGACAACCCTTATCATTTACAATCACTTCTTGATTTATGTCTGGCCTTTGATCCTAGCTTGTGTTCAGTTTCTCCTTTTTCTCCCTTATAAGATTTTGACTATGCAAGGATCTCTTTAAATATTTCATCTCGTAACTCCAACAAAACTCAGTTATTTATTGCAAACTACTATCGCTGTACTGTCGACATTCCAATATAAATGAATAGCAACACTCTCTCTGAGTCCTCTTCTTTTTTTAATTAAATGATATCTTTTAATTATGAGAAGTAATAATACTCTTGATGTTTGGAAGACAGATATAACTAACCTTTAAGTTGTTTCAATTAAAAAGTTTGTGAAATTTTGCAGCCTTTATGGAAACATTTTTTAGTTGTACTCAAAAATATTTTTGCTCTGTTTGTTCTAACGTCGATCGATTGGAATTGATGTTAATATATAAAGGATTATCTTCTGGTTTTCTATAAGTTTTAAAAGAGTTCTCAGAAAGGTTAAATG